TTTTTTTTTTTTTTTTTTTGTTTTGTTTTTGGTTTTGTCGGAGACGAAACCTGTTCAGTGAGTGTATCTTCCACCTCCGTTTAGTATATTTGTGAAGTTTATGTGCATTTTTGATTATTGACAAGTTACTTGAGTATTTTTTTTCTTCTGGTTTGTTGAAGCGAGTAGGGGAAAAAAACAACTCAAATAATAGTATATTATCAGAAATATGCAAATTTTTTTCGTCTATCAAATAGACATATAGCTGTCGGGCTGGAATTTGAACAACGAAAAAATTGGTGGTATTAATTTTTTGCTTATAAGATGTCTACACTTTCCTAAAACAGCTTTAGTTGAGGTATGTAGTCAGCTACTGTAGTGTAAAAGTAGTAAAGGAAAAAATGTTTTTTTTTTTTTTGTATAAATTTATTGTATTTATCAAGAGGGGTTCTTTTTTTAATAGAAAAACCTCTTTGACGATTTATAATTGATTCAGTTTACTTTAAGTGAGTGAATAATAACAACGAAAAAACACCTTTGTATCAATCATCGATGATTATCTGCAGTATTTTTACAGCACCGTTTTTTTTTTTACTAAATACTCTGCTATAATTTTGGTTTTCTTTAAAATGATCAGTGCAATGAATGCTTATTTATTTTATTCGTTTATTTTTTATTTATTTACTTTTTTCTTTTGTACTTGTTGAATGACGTCATTTCAAAAATAAAGTCAGTTTTTTCTTTGGGTTTTATACGGTTGTTAAGGGTCAAAAAATTTATTGTCAGAACGAAAACTCACCAATCGAATATATTGTCATCTTTTTTTTTCGTTATATAGCTAATTGAGTGTTAAACTGTTTATAAGGCTATTTTTCAAGTCTTTAATTAAAAAAAGATAATGAAGACGTGAGAATAGGTTTATTTCAACTGTGCTTCTGTTTATTTTGACTTGAAATAAGATTTTTATATCACTTTATCCCTGCTTCAGTTACTCTCATTACTGGTTGTAATTCGTAATTGAATTTGCCTAATTGCAATTAAGTTTACAGCTTTAAATGTCATTCACCAAGTGCTGATAATCGGTATAGTTTTAGCAGAGCGACAGTCTGCTCACTCAAACCATCTGTCATCCAGTATTCGCTCTGCGAACAGTAATTTCGTGGTTTTTTTTTTCTGGTTATTTAATTAAATTTTCTGCTGAAGGCTATGTATTTGGTCAAAAAAAAAAGTTTAGTCTAGGAATTACTTTTTTCAATAAGTAACGCAACTTGTTTTCTTTTTTTGGAAGTCTTTGAAAATAATATAACTTTTGATAGTTGTATGTAATTGAGTAGGTAGAACCGTTATTTGCAGTAGCATAACTTATGTGGGAACAAATATGGAACAAGTCAGAAAGCCATTTATTGTTAACGTATTTCTAAATCAACGGATCTATGGACCCGGCGATACTGTAGATGGAGAAATTGAGCTCGATTTACGCAAACGAATGTTATGCGATTTGATTACTGCACAGATCTATGGGAGTGCTAAAGTGTTCTTCATTGGTAGTCCGGTAAACTTCAAGGCTGTTACGGATAAGTAAAACTGGAATTGAGCAGAAAGGAAAATCTCAGTTTTT